AAAGAAGTATAAAGTAAAATACACCTCTGCAACTTGTCAACCATTTTCTTGCTCAATTATCTGTCATACGACACTGGGCCGTATGACTAAAAAGAGTTTACTTTACTTTCCCGTGCTTTTCTTACGGCAAAAGTAAAGTAAACGCTTTTATTCATACGACCTACTGTCGCCCAAGGGCATCACGAATGTATGTATTTTAATTTTTTCATAATAAGAGCTGCTGATGGTGTGCTTGTGTGAATTCTGAAAATAACAAGCAACGATGTCATAGTAATGAAAAAATTTGATCAGAAATGGTTTAATTTACACCAAATTGAGGAATTAGAACGAAATAACATATGTCATATGATAGTTTTTTGATAGTCTTCTTTTTGCTCGAATGTTGGTCTACCGTTTGCGTAGTGTAAGAGAGACGCCCTGTCAGCTCGATGATGATCAGGCCATCAACGTGTTCATCAAATGGCACCTCACTATACCACCGCTACAGGATCACAATTGATCTGATTGCCATAGATGGTCTTGAAACCCCTGCAGTGGATCCTCAAATTGACCTGGAAACCATTGCCGTGGATAATGAGACAGAATTGCTGCTTGAGCACCGAGGAAACGCTCCTTTGGAATGAGGACAAATGCCTGGAGATCGCTCCCACGCAAAACAGGGTTCCTCTGTCATCAATTTATGACGAGCACGGTGAAGAGATAGCTTTGCCTGCCATATGTCTCGGCCATGTACGGAAATTCAAGTCAGGGGTTCGGGTGACATATTTCATGATGGCATCCAGTGAAACTCGTCGTCAAGACAGGCGTGTGGCCAAACCACTACATTTGTTGTATATGACAATGAAAGTTCATCGCCTTAGAGTTTCCGAAGGCTTGCAATTCACTTTTAAGTGCACGGGGACCGCAAACTTTACACGTGTCAACCTTAAGGACCGCCTTATTCATCGAGCAGTGCATTGAGCGAAATCTATCCTTCCTCAAATCAATACCGATTTCAGTACAGAATTGGCAACAAAGGAAGAGAAATTTGTTCACCATGATGCGACAATTGGGAAAGCCTACGATGTTCCTCACACTCAGTGCAAATGAGATAAAGTGGCCCCATTTTTTGAATCTCCTACATCGATTGTCAGAAGGACACAATGGCAATGACTTAACAGATCCTATCCAGGAATTGACTGCACTACAAAGAGCAACTCTGGCCAATGATGATCCAGTATGCTGGTTGACACGATTGAATTTCAGCACCGTGGAAGTCCTCACGCGCACATCTTGCTATGGCTGACCAAGGATCCCCGGGAAGCAATCAGTGAAAGTATGCCAAAAACTACAGGTGCAACAGTATCATGGTATTCATGCCTGTACTACCATCGGCCCTTTTCAGGGCCACCAAGATTTTCCAAAAGAGTTAAGTTTCTGAACATGTCCCAACTAAAATTCATATCAAAGGCTTCTTTTCAGGGCAATCATAGTCATACTATAGTATAAACAGAGAGAACCCCGCTCAAATTCCTATTCCAACACAAAACACAAATTCCTGCAAATAACATTTATTATATAAGACCACGTAGTCCTACGTCACCATTGCGTTCAACCCAAAGGGCTGTCCCTAGTTTTTCAAAAGTTCTTTCATCGATTTATCATTGAACGTAAACTAAAAAAAATATCACCTAAAAAAATCCGTAGAAATCCGTAGATTTGAACAAGTCTACGGAATTGCATAGAAATAAATCTGGCATCTCTGGTTACCAGTATTCCTGATTTATTTGATTTTCAATCGTCTTGCCAGATACTTTCCCAGATATAATTCACTTATATGTTATTACGTTTATTTCAAGAATTTTTAATTATGTTCCGGATTTTCCCAGATTTTTTAAATATGTTGCTTTAGAGAATTTCCAGCCCAAAACGAAAACCGGTTGGACATCAGCGTTTCCGAATTCAATCCAATAGAGGCGATGGGGGCAAGAAGACCATACGGGGCGAGATGGGCCACCGTTCGTTTGGGCATAATACCTATTAAACTCAACCTATTTTTTTTACAAACTTGTTTAAAATGCTTCTAATATGCATCTTCATGAAAACCGTATCAAAATTCAATTACATGTCTAAGATAATAATTTGATTTTTTTGATTTTGATTTTGCGAGACAGAAGGGGGTCTTATGAAGGCCAGATCTCAAGTCTCAAGGCCAAATTCCAGAACTTGAGTGGAACATGGTTCTCACGTCAGACTATAATGTCTAAAATGAACCACATGCCCCAACCAACCCCTAGAACGGCTCCCATACACTCTCCATGCTGAATCGTGAGTCCCCCCTTTTCCCATATCATTACATGCAAAATAATAACCCGATGCAGGTCAATTGAATATGCCTAATTGAATTAGTTGCAATGATAGTGTTAACAGTAATATAGTAATTTAATAAAATGAATATTTACCTGTTAATAATGATCGAGGTTGGTGAAAATATTTAAAATAAATAAATTCATTCTTACCTTTTTATGGTTGTTTGATTATTAATTGCTATTATTACCTGCTTAGAGTTGGCTCCTTTAAAATACTGTGTAGAATTTACCTCATTATTCCTCAGTTCTATCGATTTGTGATAGAACCACGCTCAGCATATTATCCTGTAGTACGACTTGGGCATGCACCATGCAAGTAAGTCATCTCTCGTCAAAATGATGGGATATGGGGTGATGATGAAGGGATATAGAAAACGAATAAAAGAACAGAAAGAAAGGTATTAGTATTGGTTACATTAACCACCCCCCCCCCCCCACACACACACACACAACGAAAAAGAAACATAGATGCACAGACAAACAGAAATAACACATTTAATATTTTTCTCCACAAAACATAGTCACTAAAACACTACCGCCATCTGTTGAGTATCATGTGATGGATAGTACGCTGAATAGATGGCGCTAGTGTGCAAACGTCAAACGCAAGGGAACCGACCGTGCGCGCCACAGGTGGCGGCACCACCAACCAAAAACACCCGAATTGACCGTCAAATGCGTATTCGATGAACAACCTGTCCAACCGAGTGTTATGTCTGTTTGTCTGTGATAGATGGGTTATTAGGAAAGTACAACTACATTATAACTATTAGTGCAATGGATGAACGTTAGTTTCGGGGTCATGTTAGTGTTAGAGTTTTGTTAGTATTGACCCGTATTCAGCCCTGTCGGCCCCTCGAACACTAGTCGCAGGCAGTTGTTGTTAGGACATGCGACACTGTCACTGCTACTATGTTAGAGGTATGACCCGTCAAGTTTCGAAGTGCAAAAAAAAAAAATGTTAGAACTTTCTTATAAATTAATTTTACACTCAAAGCAAACTATTTACCTTAGCATTACAAAATATTAAAATTATGATAAAACTACAATTTACGGCTCCGTGAAATTAACTCGCATGAACCTTTCAAATCAATGAACTGGAAAAAAAACTACAATTTTATCAAATCGCAAAAAAAAAATCAGCGACACTTGACAAATCATCATCAAGCCCCTCATCCTTGGACATGTCTAAGATAATAATGGAAATGTAACATTAGCTCAAAATCTCTAGAATATTATAAGATATGCAGTCAAGAAAGCAAGCATCGCATTCACTATATTACATTTTACTGATCCGCTGGTTCTGAAATTTTTCAAACATAATCATTTATTCAGTCTATCATTCCAAAACCACAACCAAAACGGCCCTTTTCAGGGCCACCAATAATTCGACAAAGAGTTAGTTTTGAAGACAATTTCTTTCCAGAATATCACAGTTACACTTAAATTTGGGGACTATACTGCGAGGTACACTTATGGTGAACCAGCGGCTCAGGGATTGTAGAAAGGAAAAGCGTTGGGTAGGTTTAAAATGCATAATTAGATGCCGTCACGATTGAATGCGCATGTTTAAATTACGTTGATCCAGGTACCTATCATATAAATTTGCATATAATCTAGTTATGATTATTGTCAATAATACTTACATTTCGATAAAGATGATGCTACCTACTTTACCTGTTATGTGATACTTATCATCACAGAGTCCAACCTTGAATCGCAGACCAAGTCTACTAACAAAACACTCGTTTCGAGAAGGGGCTTATCATCATCTTCTTCTTCTTCTTCAGGTTCGCTCACCACCCGGAATGAAGGCTCGGTGCAGTTAGTAATATCATACAACCAGGATTAGTTTTTTAAAGTAATAGTTTCATCTGAATACCCAACTAACCATATCTCAGTGACATTGTCCCACTCTGAACCCACACCTAAAGCTATTTTGTGATTATATGGTTACTTTGGTACTCACATGAAATGTTGTGCAAGTACCACAAGTTCAACAACGCCCAACTATGGACAGCTCAATGTTAATACCATTTACTCTTTGAATCAGCTTACACCAACATGATAATCTACTAAGAAACATCTAAGAATGTATAGAGATAAAGTTCAAAAATACAGTTTTAACTGATGGTACTTTATAAACATCAAACTGAACAATATTGGACCCTGCAAACACACGGCGCCTGCACGGCAATGTGGGCCGTCAGAATGGTTCATCGGTTGCGAAGTGAAGTGCTTCTCAAATTGAAGCGATACATTTCTCAATTTTTCAACGTTATCCTAACGTAAACTTAATATTATCACCCATATGCCCGTCCACGCCCGAAACCCATCCACCACACAAAATCAAATAAAAATGTTTCTGTATGCCAAACACGTCCAGACATAAACGAGAATATGGGTGTATATCTTCACTGTAACAACTACGGGTAATCATCGAAAATACTTGCATTTTCCTCAGGCACTTTTGAGCAAACTGCAATCACTCTCTCATACTCGAAATGTGCCACGACCAAATTGGCACAACGACGCCCTATACGCTCTCTGACCAAAGCGCAGGGAGGGTTGGGCATACTCTTTTATTCACAACAAAAAAAAAGAATTTCTTTCACATTCAATGTTGAACCGGGTGCTATTATTTTTTGTATCCATTCGTTTATTTTTACATTATCATTCACGACATTTATTTCGAGTGTTAAATGACGACAACTTCCAGGGGGAGGTGTCTATTTAGTTTCACTCCATCGATCGCATGCGTAATCGCTATGCAATTCGATCGACATCAAAGAAATTGTATTTTCCTACAAACTAATTCTTGTACAGTTGGTTTTAATCATGAATTAATAGCTTCTAAAATAATCGAAAGCCTTCCCAGTAAATTGGGAAGCAAGAAGTGTGTTCATACTGTCGTCAAGTTTTGCATTAATAGGAAATTCAAGCATTACCAGCGTACATTGCATTTTTCTCGATGCAAAGATGCGTTTGTTTGTGTGTGTGATTGTTTGTCTCTGTGTGATTTGTGTGGATTAAAGATGAACGTGGGAGACGGCGGAATTACCTTACACTTAGTATGGAATATACTCTGGCTTAGTACGGCCTCTGTCGCTGGTCGCGATTTCTGTCACTGTTGAAAAAGAATTATGACATTAGGGATACAATTTTTAATTTAAAGAATAAACCGAACTTACCCTCCACGCATGGCACCACCACCACCACCTCGATCGCCACCACGGTTTCCACCGCGACTGCCGAAACCACCTCGATCGCCACCTCCGCTCCGTGGGCCGCCGCCGAACGATCCCCGGCTGCCACCACGGAAACCACCACCGCCGCCGCCACCGCCTCCGCCAGCGGCACCATCACCCTTCGGAGACTTACACCGATTGCACTCGTTTCGCCAGGCAAAGTTCTTATTGCTACAGTCTCCGCAGGTCCAGTCTCCTTCACGTTCCTGGCCACCGCTGCCACTGCCGCCACCACCACCACCTCCGCCACCTCCGCTACCAAAACGACCACCACCGCCTTGGCCACCACGGCCTCCACGGTCTCCACCGTCCCGATCGCCGTAACCTCCGCGGTCTCCGCCGCCGCCACCACCACCACCTGTGCAAATAAATAAATCACATTTAATCTGACGGATCTTCCAGAAAATCGGGATGACTACACTTACGGCCTCCACCGAAACCGCTCTTGGTGAATCCGCCACGGCTACTGCCCTTGTTCTGCCAGGTGTTGTAGCGCTGTGCCAGCGAAACCTTCACGAGGGATCCGTTGAACTCCTTATTGTCAAACCAACCAATGGCAGACTGAGCGGCATTGGCGTCCTCGTACGTGACGGTGGCTTCACCCTTCGGATCGCCCGTTTCCTTGTCCTTGTACATCCAGATCTTTGGCTTCATGGTGCGCTTGTCTTTCTGCAATTTGATTCAAACGGATGAAGTTAAAGCCATCGGTGTTCGAATTCTTCAGCCTACCTTAATCAAACCAATCGATCCGAAGCGCTCGGCGATTTCCTCCTCGGTCGTTTCCGTGCTCATTCCTTGGATGAAGATCGTATCCTCTTGGGTGACCATTTCACCACCATCCTCTGGGAGTTAGGTGAATTTGAATTCGATGGTCGAAAGGTGAAAGGAGGTGAAAGTGTAGGTGGAAAAAGAATCGAAAGTGAAAGCATAAAACAAAGTATTAGTAATGACACGAAGCTGGAGCTACTAAAGTGGGGGGGCTTGCTTAAAACTATTACTCTCTAAAACTTGACCGATTTTCAACTCTTTGTATTTGATTTTCTTTTTTTTAACCAAGGAACACATTAACACTACTCTCGTTGTATACTCTGAAACGTTTTACGTTTACTCTTTTAACGCTAGATTTAGGTTTTTTTTCTCTGTGTACTCTCTTAATTTTATACTCTTTGATATCAGTGTGTTTGCAAAATTGTCTAATTTAGGAATCTTTAAAACATATCGAATACCCTCTTTCATTTCGGAAACGTAGCTGTCATACGTAGATCACTTTATAATGGTTAGGACCTGGCGTTATTTTGGATACAGTGGATTCATATACATACTACTTTATATGTATTAAGGTTAAACCAAACATCATTGTAAATTGCTGATTTAGATCCAAATGATGACATTGAAGCACGGCGACTTTCTATGATTTGAAACTCAGGATAATCTTAGTAATAAGTCAGTCCAGTTTCCTCCCCAAATTTGATTCTCAAATCTTGTCAAAAATGGCTTAGACTAGAACGCTATTCTAATTTCGCTGATATAGTTAAAAACATTCTGGAGATGATTTGATGAATTCAAGATATTATCTTGGCTACTTTCCATCCTTCCCAAAAACATGCATAGACGATTCTCTGTATGTTCAGATCTCAGCAAATCTCCCGTAGATGTTTTTTGTCACTGACACTCCATACCTTCAAACACACCGGGACCGGGACAAACGGCTCTACTTCGCATCCCAAGGAAGATGTGATAAGAAATGTCTCGCCTCGAAAATTAAACCCAGACCCACTAGGAAGAAGGGCAGACACGTTTACCACTCAACCATCGGTGCCGTCTGTTGGATGAATCTAGGCAATTGTTGTACTGTATCGGACAGTTTCGGACTTTTGATGACCGCCCTTAAACAAAACATAATCTATATACGATACCAGAAAAAAGAGTGCACCTATATAAATACCATGTGCCCATCATCATTTTCACCCGATTTAAAAAAACTTATTGTACACTAATTAAAAAAAATACAAAATACAGTTAAATTATGAAACACTTCACACGAATCTGTCCTGTTTTAATTCAGTAAAATGTTGTGCGAATCAGCGGAGGTCATCTTACTGTAGGTTTTTAGTATGCTCTACATCGTAATATTCAACCACGAAAACTACCACCCAGCAAACATTTTGCCTGAATAAACTATTAAACTCTTTCCAATCTTTGTTGAGCATAACTAATGATTCGTAATTATGATAGCCATTCGACCGGAGACGGACTTGTTTATGATTGTTTTCGATATGTAAGGTGCTCGGTGGCCTAGTGGTAACCCTTTTTGCTTGCTGAGCAGAAAATCGTGGGTTCATTCCCACGCTCCTTTACATCCTTTACGTCGACATGATTTATCAAATCGTTTACCAAGACGTACCTTCGTCTATCACCTACTCTAATCACTTCCTGCGATGCTCGTGGAAGTGCAGAGGACTTCTCGGCTTCCCATAAAGCGAGTATCACGCCAACAAAACCCTCTCTCTCCCTAGTTGACCAGCATTCGGACGTGGCCGGCGCCGGTATTGGGGGCAATTGGGTGGAGGCCAAAACTTTACAGGTCCTTTGTGTGCTTTTTTGAAAGACAGCACGCGTTTTCTGAGGTATTATTCCTTGTAAAACTACCTTGCCAAATCATGGACTTCCGAGCAAATTTATCGATGAACGCGAACTTAAATCTGCCGGGGACATCTCCTCGTGCCGTGGCGGAAACGTCTGAACACATGGTAGCTTAGGCGATATTCAACTTTTTAGAGATTGTCGTACCTGACCACGTTGGACTTTCAACCTGAGTGTGCAAGATTAATTTCCTGAAATTCATCTGGAATAACTTCTGACCAACTCGGGGGCAACTTGACAAGTCCAGTACATTTCCAGCGTACCCCGAAAATTTGGTGCTGGTGGTTCTGTCAAACTCACAAATTTCAGAAGTGTTAGGGCGAATGCGGAAATGACGTACAGTAAATAAAAAGTAATTTTAAAGATAATCTTATTGCTTATACATAATCGGTTTATGAATCTTTTTTTGTGTAGCCGCGTATATCTTTGAGCAGAACAAAACCAAAAACTTAAACATATGATTTGTAAAACGAAAATATGAATGAATCGAAACAAATGAGAATTGAGCGAGGATACTTTCGATGTTTTCGACGCTATTGCTATTGTCGTCGATGATAAACGAAGAAATAATGGTTTTACAGCGAGAAAGAGCGTACTAATTAAATGCAGCTAGTACTGAAAAATATACAATTTGAGGTAATATCTTTTAAGCACAACATTACTACAATCAACCGGTGGAAACTAACGATTTTAAATAGGCTCACTACTTGACTAGCCTATTGGTCCCAAGTACATCTATAAGCGTACCCCATTCTAGTCGAAGCTCTAGTACTTTACTATGTTAGTGAATGGATATACGAAATGTTAGTTTTCACACAGCAAACCTGTTACTCGCTGCGAATAAGAATCAATTTTGTATTTTGTTTTACCCCGCAATAGAAATATGGGGAAGTAAATTCCTCGGTAAATTCTTTTTATTGATACGGCTTTTTATTGCAAGTCTTCATCGCACAACTATGCTCAGAAACATTATTCTCATGGCTGATAATATTCAAGAGTAAAATATAATAGAAGTAACTATAGTATATTTGTTTCCATTTGATTATATAAGGAAGACCTCCATCAATCTGTTTCGATTTGTTTGGATTTATTTCATTTCACCACGAAAATCATAAATTCGCTCTTTTCATATGGCATTCTTGCTTGTTGTTTGACATCCATACATGGTGCAACAAAAAAATGGTTTCCCATATAGAAATACCGTTGCGGCGGTGAAGGGCAGTCCCTTTGTTTACGTTGTGTGGCGACATCTACTATTTGCAAGTGGATACGTGAAACTAAGGTTATTTGTCACCTTGCCGGGGACTTGCTTCTGACTGACCACCGGAAGAGGACTACTTTATAAAGAAATCAAAAAATGCTTGCAGTGGTCTGGTCACTGAGCGAGCCGCTACAAACTATACAACACGTACGGATTCTAAGTGGACAGCTCATCTCCTCATCTATCGTATAAAATGTTCACTTTAAGCGAAGACAACATACCAAGAAGACTGGCAACTCTTTCATTTTCTCATACGAACGCTATGAGACAGGTACAATCGCGTCATCTGCCGCTCAAAGGTAAATGCTTCGAACGAATTTGAAAGCGAAGATTACATCCTCAGAAGAAAGGTTTGTGTATTTGCTTATTTTGCTATGCGTTGCTTACACCTTCACTCAAGCGCAGCGCTACTGTACCTGTCGCTTGGATTCTGGCAAAGTTAATATCAGGGAACACTCTGAAGGATTTCGAAAATTGTTTAGTACCTATTTCTGCATTAAAAATTGATCCTTTTCAATTTTTAATGCAGAAATAAGTACTACAACAATTTTAGAAATCCCAGGATCAACCATTTGTAAACAATGATTTCAAACGCAAATTTCTCGAGAATCAAAGCACACCCACGCCAACTAACAATACCATTCGATAAAGGAAGATGCGATCAGACGGATCATTCGTGGGTTTTCTGGAGCTCTGGTACAAGAATCTCTGGAGATGTTACACACCATAAATAGTCCCAATAATGACGAATATCTTTAAGATCATCAGGTCGGGATTCTAGGCTTCTTAAGTTTCGATAGCTACGGAATTTTCCGAGGGATGTTCAACTCTGCACATGTCAATCTGTGCCGAAAGCTTGCATGGTCAAGCGTTGTGCCGAACGTGCCGAAGTATGGCAATCAAGGTATCAGCCTCAGTATCACATTAGTGTGGCATTCCTACAGTTATGACTTTTGAGATTTATTTGTTTACAATTTCAAATTCTCGCAGATGAAGAACGAAAACAAAATTGAGAACATAAATTTCAAGATAAATTTAAATATTAAACGAATTCGTTGCCAGTCATCCACTTAAAGGAAGTGACACTCGAAGTTCAGCCCCTCCGTGAGAAAGAGAAGTGTGACTGATGACAGAAGCTGGAACAGGAGAAGAAAATTATGAACCATGAGTCGTTCTGGCAGACGTTTGCCGAAACCTCGAAGGACTCGACCTAAAAAATTCAAACCGGCGATAGTAGAAGCAACAATGAACTGCAGTAGCTGTCAGTAGTTGTGGTATTGAATTCGTCTGAACTGGCATAACCTTTTTTATGGTGGAGTAGAACTACTTCATCCATGGTTTAGAACTTTCGAACAGGAGACCCAGGAAACCACTGAGATTAGTCATTTACGAAAAAACCTGTGTAGCTCCCAGGGGTTAAAATCAGTGCGCAAAACAGTCAGGTTCATTGAGTCGTTTTGATGAGCCTCGTGAGAGTCTGAATGATAGAGAGGTAAACGAGTTAGCACTCAGTCAGTACCTCAGTCAACACGTTTATTCTGCCGTGATGTTACCCAATATTTGTTTTGAATGACTGAGCGTACATTTTCTATGGAAAAATGACTCAATTACATGCTGTGTGAGCGAAGGCAAGCGGTGTGCGTCGCCTGCTCGTGAGTGACTGAATGTTTGTGTTGGCTCTTTCATTGCCTCGTCCTTTACCGTTTGGTACAAACAGTCTGCACAGAGCAATGGATTGAATAGTGCAGTGCTTTCACACTCAGCCTAGGCAGCTCTGGTTGAAATGGTTGACGTTTCTTGCTACACTCGCTTCGTTGTCGTGCGCGACAGTCTATTTGTATTCGTACACTCATGTTCTACCGTTATCTCTCTCTCTCTCACAACACAAACGATAGAACAACATTCGAGCAAAAAGAAAATTATCAAATAACTATCATA